GGGGCGGCGGGTTAACAACTTTGGCGAAGCTCTTTCCAAAAGGGCGGGTAGGATCCAAGCCATGTTATATAACGAAATACTCCGTACTTCATAGCTAAATCTATCCAAGCTGTCATTTCCACGTATCATCTTCTTGACAACGGACATAAAGAATGATCATGTTATGCACGGGGTTCTTTGCATATGCTAGACACCGAACCCTCTTAGCTTATTACTTATTCTTATTAAAATTAAATTAGATTAGATTAGATCATAAACATCTTTAAACAGATCATATAAGATATTAAAAAAATCAGATTATAAATGCAGTCTAAGGTTTAAAGCCAACTTAATCCAACTTTAACAATTAGAATTGGCTGAGTTAGTAATTTTGTTTGAAGTACGCTCTTCAACTTAAAAGTTGGGTTTAAGAGGAGTCAATCTCTCTCTCTTACTTTTTTTTTTTGTTATTTACATATAGTACTCCGTATTGTTTAATTTAATTAAAGAAGGATAATTTATGTAAATGAAATTTAGACATATCATTTTTTTCTTAAATAAGATCAATTTTATTTACTCTAACGTTTGGCAATGAAAAGTTTTAAAATCCCCTGCCTTTGAGAGAAATGACCTATTACACAAATCAAATATATTAAGATATTATTAAAAAAATATTATCAGTCATAATCCAACACTTGTTGCTAATGACGACATTCGTAGAGTCATTCGTATAATAAGTCATTATCCAACATTTGTTGTGAATGGGAGCATATATGGCAGATCATATGGAAATATATATCATAAAGAGAATAAAACATACTTGGTCTTATATGTATCAAATTTGTCATTATGCAATGTTTTTTTTTTTAAAAAAAAAGGGGGATCTTGAATACAAGCGAAGATGTACAATAGAAGGAAATTCAAACCTCAGAAGGTCATTCCTACTAATGCAGTATGAATCAACACTATAGTTGAATGAAACAAAGGCCTATCTTTCATTCAACAAAGCTTCCACAGTTTTCCTTCCAGAGGCCAAAGCACCATCAAAGGTAGCACTAGTCACCAAATCACCACACAAGTACAGGCCTGATCTCACCCTTGGGTTCTTCATCAAATTCGTCGGCGGGGTTTGGTTGGGTTGGGCAAACCCGACCCGGTACAATCTCAAATACCTCCATGCCCCAACCACTGCCCCTCTGGAACCCGCGATCGAGGATGAAACCGTCGACGACGTCGGAGCGGACGCGGCCGCCAACGGCGTCGGAGGCTTCAAGCAGGACGAAAGGGACGTTCTCAGCTCGGAGGCAAGTTGCGGCAGCTAAGCCAGCCAGTCCGCCGCCGATCACAATGACGCCGGTTTTCTTTACGCCGGATGGAGAGGTCTGGTTGGACGGCGAGGCGTCCTGAGAAACGTGAGAAGATGCATAGGTCGGCTTGTGGACTCCGACGCGGCTTGGGGCGGAGATAGCGAGGGCTGAGACGGCGGACGAGAGGCTGAGAAGAGGCGGCATTTGGATATCCTCATTTGCTCCCATCCACCCGTACAAGTTGGCGGTTAGGCTCTCTTCTCATCTTTTTCACTTTTAAATTTCAACAATTTTCTCTTTGTTTTTTTTAATTTCTTTCAATTTCTTCTAATTTTTTTTTTAATTTTCTTCAAAAACTTTTTCTAATTTTCTAACTCATTCTAATTTTTTTCAATTTCTTCTATTTTCTTCCAACTTTTTTCAACAATGACTTTAAAAAATCATTTAATTTTATTTTCATATAGTATTATTATTATTATTATCTCAATTCAAAATTGATTTAACGTCACAATTTATTAAAAATGTAATCTGAATATAAATTTTAGTTACCATTATAGAGTCATGTAAATATTTCAAATTCTAAACTGCTTAATTTATAATCTTCATTGTGATTTTAAAATTTTTGTTAATTACAATATGTTTCTTTGAAATACGTCCTAGTCAACACTTTAAAATGTTGATCAAAATAATTGTACCTTCTATTTTTATTCATTAAGCATTTCAGAACTTTTAAGTGTGTATGCATTACATTTTTTATAATGTGCATGTTCTAAGCATATGTAAAATAATAAATGTTCATGCATCAATTTAATATTTGTTCTCATATACTCCCTCCGTCCATGAAAAAATTCTTAGGTGAATTGTTTACGATTTTTGAGGAGAGTTGAAAAAGGATGAAAGTTTACCAAATGAGTTATGCTTATATGGACCCAATGTTTGCATGAAAGTTTGCATGTGGACATTTTTATGTAATAGGTTCACTTCTTATATGCTACAAATGCATTAAGATCTATAAAACAAGCAAGATCTTAGATCCATAGAAGAATTTGCCTTACCTGATTACCATTAATAAAGTGGGTAAAGTATTGGGTGATGAGGGTGAATAAATAAAAAAGTAAAAATAATTGTGATATTTCAAATATTAAAAAAACTAATGAGAAGATCTTTTCTAGACAGATTTATTGACCATTGTTATTTGATAAGGACAACTGTCTTACGAGACTTGTTTAGATGATTTTCTTAATATCAAGCTTTGGACTTCAAGTCGATATTGGAAACTAAGAGGCTCTCTAGATTTCTTCTTTTTGTTGAGTTCTAGCGTTGTAGCGTTGTTGTTAAAACGTATGACACATTTTCAGAACTCCTTAACTTAAATCTTTCATTTTTTTCCTTGAAAAAGAGTTTTCAAAATGTTCTTGGGTTTCTTCCAATCTTTTCCTCTTCTTTGACGAAGTAGTGGAATCTCAGGCATGATTACTTCGGGGACGAAACGTAGACATTAGGTTGAACCACTATAGATTGTTGTCTTGCACGTCCCCTTATTTTTCTTCGCATCATTGGTTGAAGTACTCCTCTATTATTTGTAGATTGGCTTGGCAAAAATTTTATGTTTTTTGAAGAAAACCTCTATTCACGTCTTCTATGTTTTATGTTTTTATAACTTTTATTTATTTAAAAATATATTTAATTTATGCCCAATGTTAGCGTAGAATCAAAGTATGAGAAACAACTTGGGACAGAGAGAGTAACTTTCTATAATACGTAGTAATAAATTAAGTATAAGTTTAAATAATTAAATGTCCTAGAAATTTAATATTTCAAACTACATCTTAATATAAACCCAAAAAATCAAACTAAGACAATAATTCTGAGACAAGAAATATATTTCAAAAATGATGTACTAAAAAAATAAAATTGATACATTTAAAATTATATGAAAACATCTAAAAACAAGTGATGACATGATTAAATTATTTTGTCAAATATTAAGAAATATATATATATATTAAGAAATAGAATATTATTATTCATTACCTTTTTTATTACATTACTTTCTTATTGTACTGTTAATATAATTTGGAACTTAGGTTTTTTTAAAAAAAATCTAGTTTGTACCTCCTATTTTTTGCACCCATAATATTACTTTATATTTGAGTCTCAAGAGTAATGCTAGAGTCACAAACAAACAGTTCACAAAATTACAAACTTATTTTTTTAGCACTTTTCTAGAGATAAGATGTACTCAAATAATAAAAGATATTTTAATTTAAAATCCACAAAAGGCAAATTTGTGAAGTTTGTGAACTATATGTTTGTTTTCCTTTATATTTTCTCAACTTTCTTTTCTATGAAATAAATCAAACTCCTTAGTAATCCTAAGTAGGGAGTACGAATTATCCACCTGAATTACACCAAAAGTAAGAACCAGAATTATTTTAGTTTGTATATCAATAATCGATTATAACCCATATTAATATCATGAAATCCTCACTCTCACTGTCCAAAACACTTTTTTTTTAATATTATATAAATCAAATTTCGTTGCCTACATACAAGTAGTCAAGATTAATTAATTCCAAAGGCTTGAAAAATTGGCATATATATAATAATAAAAAACTCAGAAAAGAAACCAGACATAGATTATCAATATTTACAACTAAAGCCCCATAATCAGGGACAGGGTACTACTAGCACCGCTACAAGTACAACACATTAAAAGATATCCCTTCTGCACAAGGGACAGGAGGCGTGCCTCAACAGCCATGGATCGATGCACGGCAAGTGAAACATGTGGTGGCACTGCCGCAAACTCCTCACCGTCTCCCCTACCTGAAAGTCCTGTTTACATTTTAAAAAAAAAATTGTTAGAAAACAAACTCCAAATTACGTGCCGAGTTCTTAAATTTGAAATGAAAATGTTCGATATGAGTTCTGAAATCAAGAGAAATTTGGTATCTAATATGGTCATTTGAAATGAAAATGTTCGATATGAGTTCTGAAATCAAGAGAAATTTGGTATCTAATATGGTTGTTACTGAGTGTTTTGGATAAAATTTTAATGGTGCGTATAAGTTCTGAAAAACACTCAGGCTTCCGTCACATAGCTTTTTCAAACTGCTAGCGCTAACCTCTAATGCTGATGTCAAACGAGCCCACTGACAAGTAGGGGTGGTTGTAGATTGAGAGATATATGAGAAAGGAAATTTACGTAAATAGTAATAAAACATACTCCGTAGTAACTTTCTAAATATAGTAACATATGTTTTTATTTCTCAATGCAGTACCACTAGTCATTGTCCATTAGTCATTGTTCAAGTAATGTCCAGTGCCATTAGACATTGTTCAAACTAAATATCCACCATCGCTTAACATTATTGCAACCACTAGACATTATTCAAGTACTATATAGAGGATAAAAAAATTTAAGTACTACATTGGGAAATGACATGTTTTAGTACTATTTAGTGCAAAATCTCACTATATTAGAAGCCCTAGATTTATCTCTCTCAAAATCAGAAGATATCAAAACATTTGTATTTGGAGATGATATCAGAACTCATATCTTCTGCGTTATCATAAAAGAGCAAGCTATAATATGGATATAAGAATAGAAGAGTTGAAAACCTGGAGGCACACGGAGCAAGAGGCTCCTCCCCCCGATGAATCGTCATTGCTTTCGAAACATATCACCCTTTTTGGAATCCTCTCCACAAAGTCTCTCGTCAAGCCCTTCGCACTACCGGTGTCAAAAATGCTATGAGCATCTTCATACATGGACTCAATGGCTCCCATCTGACAAGATGAATATGATGGAACTTTTTAAGCAAATGGAAGCACAAATACAATAATCAAACTTGAAATGCTGAGAAAAGATCGGTACCTGGCTCTGCACTGCACTTAGCATCGCGGGGCCAATGCGCTCGCGAACAAGTCTACCACTCAAGAGGCTTGCAATCACATCAATCTGTGTGGTTTGATCAAATCATTCAACAATTCAGATTCAAAGCATACATTTCTCCCAAATGGGCATTACGAAAGGAGAAGATTGTGTTGGAGGATCATTGGATGGTTTACCAAGTAGAGAAGACAGCGGAGCCCGGATTCGTCGGACTGCCAGAGACGAAGAGAAGATTCGAAGACCTCAAGGGAGAAAACGGCGCCGGAGATGGCACCAACTGCGGCGCCTCTTATGAAACCACTCTCTGTTTCTTGCCCTATCAATGCTCCGGTCATTGCCCCTAGCACCGTACCGACTGCAACCATGAAATCAATCATTTTTAGTGCACTTTAAACATAATAAACCCCTCTCTCCCCTTCTACAATTCATTTCCACAAAAATGTCATCACATACAATTATCTATCACTTCTATTTAGGCTTAGTTTGGTGGCATTGTCTTGCTTTTTTTTTTTTTTCATTTCTATTATCAAAGCAACCACAATGAGGACCCGTTTGGCTTTGATTCTGAAAAGGCGATTCCGTTGATTTTGCAAATTTCCATCACAAAATTTGCAAAACGGATGCTACCAAACGGATGCAAAAATTGATGCTACCAAACGCTTCCCGAAAAGCACATAAAGCCATTTCAGCCACATAACTGCTGCCAAACTAGTCCTTAAACTCCAAATTCTCTACCATCATGTTTTAGTTCCGCAAGTAACTTCAATAAGAGAATTTTTCTTTATGCTTTTTCTATTGACTAATAATTCCAAAGCATATTCATTTCTTTGTTTCTTTCTTTTTTCTTCTGCAAACAAGCTCCAAAGATCATCCCCCTTTTTTGGCTGGAAAAGAGCCCCCAACATGAAAGATCATCCCTTTATGTTTTTTGTTTACCAAAAAGTTGCAAAGATTCTTAATCCCTCATTTCTATTCCTAAAAATCTGTTCTTAATTTATAAGCTTGGTTTTAAATAATATTTGGGAAAATGTTTTTGTACATTTCTAAATAATATTAGAACATTCTCATTGCATATTATTATCCTATGAACACAAATATGAAAAATAAATGGCCAAAGCAGAGAACAGATGACGAAATAAAACAAAAATCAAAACGAGCAAACACAGATTAAAAACCCCTAATAAAAAAGAAAGGACAGAAATCAAAGAATCGCATAAAGCAAACAATTAATCCACACAAGAAAAAAAAAGATTAAATTTTTACATACCCAGAGCAAAAAAGAAGGTGAGAATGGCAGAGAAGACATTGCCAATGGCAGCAGAAACAGCAAAGGTGAAGAATTCCTTAGCCCAATCGGATAAATCGCCCAAAGAAGAAGAAGCAAACGGAGAAGACGAAGGCAAAGCTCGAGACAGGCAGGTGTACAAGTCCATCGATTCTGAATCTTTCTTTTGAAACCTTTTCCTATTTTTTCCAAAATATTCTTTTGGAAATTATATATAATCCGTCTGGGTATGAATGGAGACACAGAAATGCAGGGCACCCAGAAGAATAAAAAGAAAGTAAATGGGAAAAAAAAGACAAAGAGATGAAGTGATGAAATAAAGAAAGGGGAAAAGATAATATCTGGAAATATCTATTTTGGGATGTGCGGTTGTTGTATTTATAAAGGCGCGGAGGATATGTGCCTTAGTTGCTAAGCTAAGATAAGGGAAAGGGTAGCGACGTGATGGAGTATTTAAGAGGTAGTCGCTCCAATTTCCCTCAAAATGGACTAGATAGTGAAAAGAGGTAAGTTAAATTTTAATCTATATGATTATACCTGATCAAAGGGACTCGGTTAAGTTGTTACGTTATGAGAATTTTCTATGCCTGAATTCGACCCGTATAGCGGGCCTAACAATTGAACTTCGAGCCGGCACACATGAATACCCGCGGGCTTCGTGCCGGATCGACCCGCACGACAAAAACTATTAAATAGTTGTAATAATAAATATTTTAATTCATTCGAGCCGGCCGGCCCGTGAGCACAGTGAGCTTGAGCATAAAACCCGAGTCCTGGCTCGTATCCTAAAATATCAAGAACAAGTCCGCTATTTTGCGGGCGAGCCGGATACTCGAGCCCGTGATCAGGTCTACTTGAATATAATTGTCTTGCCAACTGCAAAAAACAGAGGCAAGTTCCAATCCTCTCAATTACCCTACGAGATGGTCATAGATCTCATTTAGTCTTAATCTTCGCAATTATATTTGAAATTTATTTTTGAATTTTTATTTTATTTAGTTTTAAATGTGTAGTATTTTATTTTTACATTAATTTTAAAAGAAGTTAAATTTTGTACATATGTAATAACTTCTACTCTCTCACTCCATAATTTTTTTACATTTGATATTTCACGGTTTCTAATGTTATTCTCTGATCATTGATATTTCTATTATATTATAAAAGAATACATTATTTCAGAATTATGTTTTAAAATAAATCCATTGATAATAAAATTATATGTTCAGTGTAATTAGAAATAAGTTCAGTGTGAATCAAAATTGACAATCTTATTTTAAATAGAGGAATAATTATTTTTCGAGAAGTTGGAAAAAGGTAAAATGACCCTAAGCTAGCATTTATGGCTTCTACCAGTAGAAGCTGCGATGGGGAATAGACAAAATGTTTCAAAGGCACGAGCCACAAATCCTCTTTTTTTTTTTTCTTTTTTTTTTAAAAGCTTTGACCATATAAACACTACTTATTGCTTAAACAAAAAAAACACTAGTCCGTACTTATTAGTTTTGGTGGGAGTGGGGTTCAAACTTTAAACCGGTCCGCAATATCAGCCGTTGTATTCACAAAGGGGTTGCGGCCGCACATAACCACCGGCCCACCGCCCAGGCGCCCCACCGGCGGAATTGTAATCTGTGGGTGTACGGTAAAGATTACCACTCCGAGTTTAATTAGGAGTCTTTTCTTTTAAAAAATCAGTTCATAAAGCTTCTTTCCGTTTTAGTTCATAGAATTATTTAGAATATCATTACAAAACGGATAAAGAATACTATGTTCATTGTTCTCTTCAGTTTTACATTTTTGATTTAAATTAGATAAATATTGATCATCAATTAAATAACAATGATTTTAGGTATTGATACCAAAATAATTTCATTATTTTTATCTTGTAAAAAACTATCAAAAATTTATTTTAATATATTACTATGCAACGGAAATTTAATTTATTTGATGAGTAAATTTCATAAATAATCCCTAATTACTGGTAATTTTCTATATTCGGACCCCAATTCTAAGATATTACGAGTATATAAATGGTTCGCAATTTTTTAAAACTATTCCACGAATAGTCTTTTAGGCCAATTATGACAAAAAAAGTTCTACATATAGTGCTAGAAAGACCAATTATAGAATAGTTTTCAAAAATTAAGAATTATTTATGTAATATCTTAAAATTAGAGACTAATTATAAAAAATAACGAATAACTAGGGATCATTTATGAAATTACTCTTATTTGATACTCCCTCTCTACTTTCTTTATTTTAACCTTTCTTTTTGGATCTTCTATTATCATTTTTTTCATTTCATTATCTGGCAAATAAATTACATCTAAAGTACCAATTTGCCCTTTTGCCTTTAATTCTTTCTTCTTCGTTTTGCATCCCAACTCACAAACAGTAATTTCAAAAATTGTATCAAAAACAGTGTAGAAATACCATTTTTCTTTAGTGGTAATGGTTCTTAGATAGATAGATAGATAGTACATGCTAAATAAGATTAGAGGTCATTTAAAAATTTGAATCTCAATTCCAGCAATAATTTTGTGAAGATGCTTCTTCAAATCTCTATAAAGGGAATTTGGTTTGAGTACACGTTTGGGGATAACCTAATTTGATCATTTGAAAGAGAGGTTTCAAAAATGACTTGAAGATCGTAAAGAGAGTTTAATAAATTGGAGACATGATATAGTTCGGATCTCTAAATTTCTAACACATTAAGGGCTTTTTAATACACGAAATTGACAAAATTAGAATTCAATTGAAATTAAAATTTTATGAAATTGAATTGGATGAAATTAAATTCTCCAATTCCAAATCTTTTTTCACACTACCATCAAAATTAGAATTGAAATCTTAAATTCCAATTTCATGGCTTGAATTTCGTTCACCGAGCCTAAGAGTGGCATGTATTGTGTATTGAGACATCTCTTTGACACCAATCTAACACGTACTTGATGAAATAATATAATGATGTCACATCTTGATTCGTAGACTTTTGATATAATTTTTAAAAATATAATTTTATTTTTTAATTTCCACCAATATATAAATTGAATTGAAAATAATTTTAGTCAAACATAACAAAAAACAACAAACAACATAAATTGTGACGAAGGAAGTAGCAAATAAGCCAAAGAAAGTGACTACCAAACGGCCACTAGGCATTGAAACAAGATCAAAACATTGACAACAATCATGTTTATAATAACAACAAAATGTGTGTCTAAAAAAGCTATCTTGGCAACCTTTTACTAGTATTGTATGTCTCAGGCATTTCTGTTTTGGCTGTTCCTATTCCAAATCCTCTTCTGTAACATTTCCCAATCATTTGATACAAGTGTAGCAATATAGAAAAGGGCACAGCAAAATCTATTTCACAGCCTGTAAGAATGTATAGAACACTCATTTTCAGTATATAGGTACAGGCTGTCTTTATGATTAACATTATTATAACGATTAACGGAGTTCATGCGTTCAAATTAAGGGAAAACATGTATTTTGTAGTAGATTAAAGAATTTACCATAAACGACGGCTTATACTTTGTATTCGTGAATCCGCATCCATTTTGTGCATGACCATTTGTTACCCTTTATCACAGGGCAAGAACCTATCAACACAGAAAGAGAAAATATTAGGGAGTAATCATTAGGTAATCCAGTCTAGTGCAGTTCAAGTTGACAAATGTAAATGTAGATTAGCTAAAGCACTACTATCACAGCAAACTTTTATAGTATAACACCTCAAATACGGACAAAGATGAATTCTTTTTTATATCCCAAATTAATTTTCTTACATATTTATTTGGGTGATCATTTAATTTTGAGTGATTTTTTTAACACTTTATTTTTTCCAACATTTCCCAGCTCCTTCTAGTGTTTGCCAACTTCTAGTTTTTCCTACTCCATCCAGTTTCTTCCAACTTCTTTCAATTTCTTCCAACATCCAACTTTACAACTCCAGCCGAAAAGAACAAAACCTTAGTCCAATCATTTGTTCGAACTTCAGTGGGTTTCTTTGACTCTTTATTCGTACTTCTGTCTCTGAGCCGGTGGTCTATCGGAAACAACTTCTCTTTTCATACTAGGGGTAAGTTCTGCGTACACACTCCCACAACCTCCAGACCCTATTTTTTGTTGGATTTTACTGGGTTTGTTGTTGTTCTATATTATGGAGTATTTTTCATCTCCGCTTTCTTTGCAACCATCAAAATGTAAGGATAAACAGATTAAACATTCCTCATGCCTTCCTAAATCCCCAAACCAGACAATTGCTTACTGACCATGCAAACTTGATGGGTCTGGGGATGCATCCGGTTTCATGCTCCAGAAAAGTAATGCATCGCCCATCTTTGGTTTTAAAGAAAGTCCTTGTCTTCCACATTCAGACAATTCATTCCACCAAGGAACTGCACTAAAATTTCCCTCTGCAGCTGGGAATAATGTCTCTCCCCCTTCTTCAACATCAGACCTGAATTGCAAGAAGGAACATGCTTACAAGATCACAAGCGAAAATTATAGTGAAAGAGAAAATGCTAAGAAAATTGTTTTTTAAATGTTGGGGTTTGCACTTTTACCATGGAAAATACAAAAGAAAATTAAATTTGGTTATAGTTTTTTATATTCTTTCATCTATTTAGATTTCTTAGTCTTTGTATAATAGGTAAAGTTCTAGAATTATATAAATAGGATGCATTTGAACAAGTATCTAAAATATTACAATTGAAACTGAATCAACTTTATTATCTCCCAAATAAATCCTCTACTTTCCTCGCTTCCTCTTAGCATTTTCCAGGTTACAAACGAACCCTTAAAGAAAATTGAAAATTATACCGTGCAAGAAAATTTCCTTACAGGTACATGAGAAGCGTAGCAACTCGTTGGCCCCCATTCTTAATATTGTACTCATCGGCAAAGTAATCATAATGTGGCTCATACTTCTGGCCGACTTCATAGTGGAGAACTTGAAGGCCTTCACCATTTTCTGCGTAAGCATGAGAAGCATTTTTGACTTTTGTAGTACATTGCCTCATAAAAATGACAAGACAATTAAGAAAGATGCAGTATATCACATAATGATGCCCCTAGAGTAGTTTTGGCTCTTACTGACTGCATCTTCAAGTTTTCAGATATCATAGAACATTAGGTTTTGATTAAAAACATCATATAAATGAGTTTGGTTCAAATTTGTTCAAGAAAAAATAAATATAACCACACGAGTCCACCTCTGTAGCAAAAGATTCATGTTTCATCGTGGTACAAAACTATTGACTCTAACTCCATAAGGAGATAAGGATAAAAAAGTATTCCCTCCATCTCACACTCCCACTCTCTTTAGGACATAATGAAGTGACACATATCAAGGAAAAGTGAAATTGTGTGATTGATATTGAATATGTAAAGGATGGACAAAGTAGAAAGGATTTTGAACCACACAAATATGACAAATATGGAACGGGACAAATATAGGAGAAAGAAAAAAACGGTAAAAAGAGACAAAGATAGTGGACGGAGGGCGTTATTTGTAATTTTCTCAGGTCCATAAACACACTTTTGTTGAACAGCTTACCTACAGGTATGAAGCTGAAATCTGCTATTCTTTTTTCAATGTTACTGATTATTTTGTCACCACCTCTAGCAAGAAAGGTTCCCGAGCTTGTACGCACCCTGAAAATTGAAGTAGGAAATAACAAGCCTGAAAGATACATATTCTAAACTGAAACTAAACCACACCGCAAATGGATGCTCACCTGCTATCTTTGCTCTTGCCAGTTTCATTGTCAACAACCGTTGACTTTTCCATATGGGGTTTGGCAAGATTAATTAAATATTGACATTCATCCTTTGACTGAGAAAGGAAATAACAAGTTGTTAATCTGTTGGTCTCAAGGACCGATCGGACCATTTAACAGTCTAAGTACTAGAAATGAGAGCTGTAAGCACTGAGTACGCATAAGCTTCCAGCACCAATAATCTAGCTATCACATTGGCATCCAAACGCATATCTTGACATGAAATCTAAATCATTTAGACAGAATTGTAGTTAAACCCACTGCCCGTCCAAAATCAACTTTTGTTTGTGATCTCAACCTTTTTCAATGGCCAATTAGGCAATTATGCATTAACCCCTTCTCCTCACCCAAAGGTATCCATTTCCATCCTTCAAGAAGGCTAGTTACTAAGCAAATAACAATTGATGGGTTTAGCAACTAAGCTAGCTCGCAATCACACTGAAATGAGGTTGAAATTAACTGACTATGAGTAGCAATAATAAACTAACTATGAACAGAGGTTTTGGGCCTACGCCGTTGGTATACCAATAACTCATCAGTAGTCTCACACTCTCACTCTGTATTGCATCCAAGCACACTATGCCCATCTCTTACGTTTTATATCAAAGTTCATAAATTGAACAAAAGAATGAAATGACTAAACAAAACCATATACTGTTTTGCAATAGTATGAGTATCAAGCTCAAGATTATTCACAATGTACTTATGAATGCAAACACACAACACTTCCCTACTACAATCCCCCAGACACAGCATGGGAGGAAACCACACTTGGTGATACCAAGTCTGTCTAAATAAGGGAAAATAGACGGAGCAAATTTTTACATCGATTGCATTCCATCGGAGCAAGTAATCATGTTTATCCTTGGGAAAAATCACTTTCAATTCCAACTTAACACCATAATATTACTTCTCATAGAATATAAAGAGCATATAGTACACAAAACAGTACACAAGTAAAACCTGTGGGGTGGGGGTGGGGGGCAAAATTACAAAATTGACTATTTTGTACACATGATGTATGGGGTGCTAAAAACACATTTTATACCATGGTATACACTTATACACATAACAAACTCCCTTTGTACGACTATTTTTGTCTCCTTTTACTCTTTTTTATCACCACACTATTTTTTCTAAAACCGTATTTAGTAACAACCGTGCAACTCACATCCATTCTTACATTTTAGCTTTTAAATCAACCATACAATTCCAATTTTCTTAATTTGAGTGCCACTACCTCATGTCCCAAAAATAGTGGGATAGAAGGAGTACAATTAATTAGTGAACTAGTGAAGAGCACAATTCTAACTATCTATGTTGTCCATATTGCATACACCGATTGCCTTGTACAAACAAAAAAAACACTCCCCTTTCATAATAAGTGTTGTTTATGGAAGATTTACATGGATCTTGTTTTAAAACTCATTATCCTACATTGTTGCAAAATAATACTGTTATACCTAAACTATCCTTAGCAGTGTCATCTAATCTAATAGCATGCACAGAGAGACAATTGCACATGATCCTTAAAAGAGCCCCTAATTTGGAGAGCTCAGAATTCTCTAGGTCTGTGGAGTAATAGCCAAAAAGCTGAAAGTCCATTTTTTCTTTTTTGCATCAATAATAGTCCATATATATCTAACATTCTTCCAAACTCCCATTACTTAAACTGTGAAAATATGTTGCTTTCAGTCTCTTTATTCCTTTTTTCAATAACATCTGATTTTCTTACACAGATGCCTATTTCATTAAAGTTGGTACCTTTTATATCATCCTCTCCCATGATTCAAACATACCTTTAATTAAAATCATTTCTTGGAGAATTAGAAGTTACTTTGGGTGATTGTTATGATGGTTGAGAAACTGAGAAAGGAGAAAGTGAAATTTGGTATTACCTGCTTCTTTCTTTTGCTTTTATAAAAGGACATAAAAATGAATGTAAACCAAAATTGCATTCAATTTGGGAAAGGAACACTCTGTTTCAAGTAGAAATTCAGTGCAGAAGCCATAACAAAATGATAGGATCCACCCAAATTGATTTAAAACTTTAACCTGTTAGTCTTCTTTGAATGGGCGCCACTAAAAGCTAAAAAAAGACTAGGAAACTTGTGCTAAGGTGATTGCTTTTAATATCCAGGCAATCTTTTTTTCTGAGCAATGCGTTGAAGATCAAAGTGAGTTAAGGCCAGATGGGGATGGGATTTAGGCGAGGGGTTTGCCAGATGGGGATGGGTTAGAGAGAAGACACCAGTCATTTTCACCAACATAAACACATAAATCAATTCACGGCAAAAAAAAAAAAGGAATCTTTGAAGAAATATACCAAGAAATTATGATAAACAAATGCCCTAGGCACCCAGGAAATTATTTCAACCCATTGATCTCCTCTTTCACTGCCATCTTCTCTGCACCACACAATTCCAAACAAAAAACAATCAGATCAGCGACGAACTTCCCGAAGTCCGGCAATCGAAGTAGGGAGTGTAGTACACCTACCTCTCCAGTATGCTGCGCGCTATTGTGCTAAGATCGTGTGCTTCCTGGGAATCTCTGGAACTCGAGAGAATCCCGAAACCTAGGAGAATCAAAGTGAAGAATGCAACCATTACCAGCGCCGCGAAGACCGTCGCCCGCGACGGCGACGCCCTCCTCGGCTGCCACCGGCCGTGCTTCCCCTTCGGCGCCATTGAAAGTGAAGACCGATGGGAAACTGGGCCTTGGACTCGATCAGATGAACGATCTCGCGGAATTTTCTCCCTTGTTAATGACTTTATCGATTTCTTGGATGTTAGGAGAAAGAAAAGACGAAGCTTTATATATATACACTGATATCTGAGGAGACTGAAAAGACGGGGTCTGCCGTCAGGTAGCTACGTAAGCTACAACATTGGAGGGCGGTGTGGAACTGGAAATTGGGATCCATTGATTCTGTTTCTGGAACCTGTTGCAGTGCTGACCTTCTTTTTCCTGGTTTGGTGAAGCTCCCACTGATTTATCGGAAAATGACAATATGTTCCAAATCTTCTCATTTTCTAAAGAGAAATACACCCTCTATCCCAACAAAAAATTCAAAGAAATAAAATTGTATAATTGAAAAATGACGAAGAAAAGAAAAATACGGAGCATTACAAGTCATTAAACATTTTCCATAAAAAGAAAGTTGAATCTTTTTTTGAAATATTACAAAATAAAATTTAAAATTTTTTTTTATAACAGAGTGAGTATTTATTGAGATTGTCATTTTCTAAAGGAAAATAATAATAATATACACGAAAATTTATTTTTTCTTGTAGGAAAATTTTTCAAGCATAGCTATTTTTCATGAGTGCTTCATAATATTTAAGATGAATATTTCCAGAAAAAATATATTCATGACGAAAAATGAGAAATGTGACGTAAATCATTTTCCTCCTACATTTTTCATTTTCTGTTAATGAAATTTTTTTTTAAGACTTGAAACTTAATAGAAAAATAAGTAGACACGTACATCATTAGAGACTAACATTGCTTCTCTCTATATTCCTCATTTTTCCCTAAAACAATCAACTTGTTTTACTCGAAATCAATTCTTGTAATAAAACTATTGTCTTACGCAAATGAGATGACTTCAATCACAACTGCAACCGTAGTGCCGCGAAGATGCCTAGGTATGTATAACAGACCGAACCATCAAATTATGCTCTCGAGGCCCGGGCGACACAAACGAGTTTAAAAAAAAAAGTAGACAACGGGTGATTTTTTTTTTTGCAAATTTTTTTTAAAAAATATTTAGATCGTTAGAAATCAAACACAAGACCGCATATATATAGACACACACACACATATATGTATGTATGTATGTATGTATGCATGCATGCATGCATGTATATATATAGGGGCCGATCAGGTGAATATGCACCTTGGTGAAAAAAATAAGAACAAAATCTAGCTTTTGAATTTGATGTATCGTGCGACTCAAATTCCATCTTGCACTTAAGGGGGTGTATTCAATCCAAATTTTTAAAGATTCTGATAGATTATTTTGAATTCATGGATTCAGTAAAGTCAATGGATTATTTAAAATCTATGCAGAGTTAGATAGATTTTAATATATTTTGTTAGCAGAATTTTGTAAGATTGTGATAGATTGTTTATTATCAATGGATTATTTATATACTGAGTATATATTTGAGTTATTTTAAAAATCTAGACAATGTACTAACATTGATTATTACTCATGATATTGACCAAAAATTCTAAAAATAACATTATAAAATAAAAAATTGGTGTTTTATAACATTGGAGTTTCCCTATTTAGTCCCTTATTATCAAATATTACCCTAGTGGTCCTTCTTTTATAGGTATCTTTCCATAAATAGTCATTTTTTTTATATTCTATCATGTTGGAGTTAATTTGGGGCTAAAAGTGTAATTTCACAATGATAATATATCTTTTTTGTCATACACAATTCCAAAGTTTGTTCCGTTTGCATCGTTTGTGAATTACATTCGCTTTCTACTACAACTATATTCTACAAATGTGGTCTTCCGTCAAAATTCTAGCCCACAATCATAGTCATTATTTTTGTGTTATTCGCTTAACCAATATCAGAACACGTCAATAGACATAATGTTGATTCAAATTATACTTTTAGCTTTTAAATTAACACCCACATGGCCGAAGATCAAAAAAAGAACCATTTGTGGAAAGGCACCCTTAAAAAAAGGACTACGGGGGTAATATTTGATAATAGATGACTAAATATGGAAACCCCCATGTTATAAAGGACCAATTATGGAATTTACTCATAAATTTTTAAAACATTATTATTATTATTATTATTATAAAGCTCAACACCAACATATAAATAACAAAAATTTACGAAACAAGATGAAGCTCAAGACACCATTAACACATGGGATCACAAAATCTAAGAAAAAACGGATCCGGAACATGAAAAATAAGACGCATCTTCAAAAATATAGAGCTAATTGAATGAAGATCTATAGAGCCCAGTGTTTCGTGTTCTTTAAGGGTATGTTTAGATTGAGTAAGGAAAAATTTTATTAGGTAGATAATGGTAGATAATTGAAGATAGTTAATTGAAGATAGATAAAGTAATGTAATGAGTTGATAAGTTGTCTTTGGATATTTATTAGGTAATGTGAGGTAGGATAAATAATAAAATTACTAAAATACCCTATGCTTGTATTTCTTTATTTGTTTAATGTTTTGACAATTATTTATAAGGTAAATATAATAAATTATTTTTTGCATCAATTTCAAATATTCTATTTATTTAATTTATTAAAAAAGTTTTTTAATTTTAAATGCAAAATTTCGAAACTAAATTAATACTTTAAGACGGAAGTAATAACATGTCATTTTATATAGATAAAACTAATCAAAATTTAGAAGTCATATATTCTATAGCCAAAAAACAATACAAAAAATCAAAATAAATAACAAAAAAAACAGAAATAAACCAAAATAAAAAAATCACTACTTCAACAAACATGAAAAAATGAAAAAAAAACACCATAAAAAACACGAAAAAAACAGAAAGAAAAACGAAAAGAAAGTAGAAGCATAACTGCATAAGCAAAAACAAATAAATGGAAAAAATGGAACAAAAACAGCAAAAAACCAAGCGCACAAAAGAAAGCTGAAGAAAGAAAAAAACTAAAATAAATCAGGAAAAAACCTGCATCCGAAGAACCTGCGTCCGAAGAGGAGAATCGAAGGCTTGAGATTGGAGGAGGAGGAAGAAGAAGATGGAGTGACAGATTGAGGGAGACGAAAAGTGGAGAAGATGAAGCACCAGTTCCTGCGGAAGAAGAGAGTAGGAGAGTCCATCAAAACCCCAGGGCTTTTGATTGGATTTGGAACTTGGATTTGTATTTAAATCCAAGGCACAAGAATCCATCAAAATCCACTTTTTTAAGAATCTTTAAAAATCTATCAATTTTTGAATATTTAGAAAGATTTTTTAATGTTTGAATTGAATACACTCAGATTTTAAATGACTTCTTAAATTTTGAATTGAATACCTATGGAATTTCAGAATCCAAAAAAATTTAACAGAATCCGAATTGAATACACCCCTCAGATTTTGAGATAGTGCATTTTGAAGAGATTTTGATGTAAGCTTAACTCTTAGATTTCACAATTTAAAACACGAGATTCATTTTAATTTCTTTCGTCTCGTCCACCTATTCTTAGCCCAAAAGAAAAGATTGAGAGAATATTTGACTTGTACTCACTCGGTGTCTTGGTTTGGTCGAGAGCCCAAATCAACCCACAGAGAACTACAACTTCCAACCCTATTTCATTTTCGAGGCTACCAAAGCAGAGGGAGAGAGTCCCAGTGAGAGGACGAAGAAGTAGTGAAGGCGGTGAGGCGAGGTTCCTTAGCAAAGACGGTAGGAGGCCAATTCACTGCAGCAGGAAAATTGACCAAATCAGGATAGACGAAGAAACGGGGATAGAACCGGAGCCAAGCACAGTGAAATCCGGCGGCCAAGCAACCGGAGGTATAACCCTTTGGGGGCTGCGGATCCGTTGCTTTCTTTCTTCCCTTGTTTTCTTTTCTGGGTTTTCTTCTTCAGTAGCTATGTGTTAGGGTTTACCATTTCAAACAACACTCCGTATTTTGTTAATCAACTTTTGTCAAGGTTTTGTTATTTTTTCCCCTCTTGTGTTAGTTCTCCACTCTCTACAAACCGTATTCTTAAGGAATTAGTTTAAAATTTAAATCAAGTTTTTTGTCCACCATGCTCATACCCTATCTCTTGTAACCATTCATCGTGATTTCTTTATTGAATATGGTAGTGTACAGCTTACTCTTAACAAACTAAAGCATGAAAGTGGACAACTAAATCTGGACAGAGTGTATATAAGGTTATGTGTGTTTTGTGTTCAAGTATGCATGTTTGTGTGATTTATTTGTTGCTGTTCAATTTACTCACTGAGTCTGTTCGTGTGATTTAAGCTGATATTTGTTAGCAAAGCCGACTTTTGCTCTTAGTTTTATTTGCAAATGGATGCTTTTTTTATTATAACAAAACCTGAGTTACTGGGTGAAGTTCAATTAATGGGTCATTAAATGACTTATCGAGTTATCGATTGAACCTTTCACCAACTTGAAATCTACAAAATCTGACAGTAAGGTTTCATACTTATTGAAGTTTTGTAGAACTAAGTATCAATTACTCCTAATTAACTATGTGTTTAGTCAGTACCAGCTTCTGAAGCTATTATTATCAATATGTTTTGTTAAATAATCTTGTTATGTTTATTGCAAAATACTGAGTAATACAACAACATTACTCCAGTGCCTCTAAGGCTCCCACCCATTTCGGGGTGTGGGGGGTGGTGGGAGCCTTACCCCTATGTTCAAATATAGAGTGGCTGTTTCCAGATGACCTATTATCAGTGTCGAACGTTGCATTGATTAACTGTTACCCCACTATTAAAAGAAGCGCGGATAGTTTAAGAGCCATTTTGCATCTTACTCCAAAGACAAATATTAGTGAATATTTGGCTCCAGCGGAGAAGATGGAAATAGTTCCCCACTAAATACTGAGTAATGTTTTTCAAAAACTTCATATTCAATTTTGGTAAAATGTTGGGCTAAGACTAGTGCTATCTGGAATAGTAGGGTCTGTAATAGGTCTAGTTTAGTTTAAACTGAAATGTAAGGAAAGATGGGGATGATCTCTTTTTAGACCATCTTTGTTATTTTGTCTTTTATGATTATTTTTGCTGAGTCAGTTTGTCTGTTGTCATAGCCTGAGTCAGTCCATTGTTTATGTTTTATTTGTCTTTTTTATTATGTTGGCATATGAATTTCTGTTTTTTGTTTGAGTTTAGGTTTAGATTTTTAATATGCTTGTTGTTATTTATTCAGGTCTTCTGATTGCCTTTGAGTGAAGATGTCACACACTGGTGGTG